ATTATCCGTTATATTTTCATTGAAATATACAGGATTTTCCGTTGAAATATGAGAATTATTTTGTAGTGGTATCGGCAGTAAAACTTAATTGTTGGGTGGAAATAAAAATTTTAATGAAAATTCATACAGTAAAAAAAATGTTGGAAAAATAACTGTTGGAATCATAAAATTTCATCTAAAATCTAAAATTCCAATGAAAAACTCATTCCACCGAAAAATTTTATCATTAAAGTATATTACTATAGAATATTTCGATGGAATATGACAATGCTTTTGTAGTGGTATCGACAGTAAAACTTAATTTTTGGGTACTTACACTATAAGAAAATAATGAAATTTCAACGGAAATATATTCAAATATAATTCCAACGGCATTTCCAATAGATATTTTTCAATGCTATTATTTCCGTTGGAATTTTTAATAGATTCCAACGGAAATTCCAACAAAAATATTCCGTTGGAATGAGTTTTCTATTGGAATTTACGTTGGAATAATTCCAACGGAAGCTATACCATTGGAATATCCGTTGTAATTTCTATTGGAATATATTATCATATGATTTTGCGTTGGAATATAACAATTTATTTTTAAAGTGTTAATTATATCAAATAATTAGTATCAGTAAAACTTTTGCTAGACAGGCCTAATAGTGAGATAAATGTATTTCTAATGTATGCATAATTTAAAATTAAAATCATACTTTAAAAAGTACATACATAAAACATATTTCATAGTATATACATATAAGATAAAAATAAAAATAAATAAAAATAAATAAAAAAAAATGAGGGCCAGATTAGCCTAATCGTTGGGCGTCGTCCCACATGGAATTGTAATTATGTAATGTTTCATTTTCCTCGTAATTCGTCTACGCATATTTTGAAATTTGAATTAGTGCGGTACTCGTGCGATTTTGTTACATCGTCAATCGCCTCAAATTATATTAGGATTCTAGATAGCCTTAAATAATTCAATTAAATTATTTAGCAGGATATATATGATATGATCTACATTGGTTTTATGAAGATTGCATAGTCAAATATAACGGAGATTGTAAAAAGTATTTCTTGATAATCTAGAGCTTTATTATTTAAAAACTGTAAATTACTTAATTTAAAGAAAGAAAAAATTGTGTAAGCGTATGCAATCAATTTAAATTTTGTATTATGAAGGATTAAACATAACCCAAATTTTTAGGATGTTTCAATCCGATTTCTTTTTGCATTTCAAATTAATATTACATGACTCTATTTTAAGTTTAAAACATAAATCCTAACTAAAAAATATTAATAGCCAAATGATAATAGATTTTTTAATTTTATTTTTTTATTTAAAATTTGGCCTGATTTCTATGCAATCCGATTTTGTAATAAACATGAAATGTTGTAATTAGGCAAAGATACGTGTTATAGAATTTTGTCTAATTCGAAATTCTTGATTTTATGGTAAATAAATTTTTCTTAATAAAAATGAGAAAATTTTGACTCTTACAAAATTATCTTGCCAAATTTTACCTACAGTAACCTGATTTCTATGCATGTTACTTTTTATTAAACAAATGATCTATTTCAATTAGGAAAATATATAAGTGATAATATTTTGCCTAATTTGAAATTCTCGATTTTATGGTAATCAGTTTTTTTTTTTTTTAAATAAAAACGGTGAAAAAATTTTGACTTTTACAAAATTGTAAGCATCAGTCGAAATTTACCTAAATTAAATCCACAAAACCCATGAATTTAGATTGCATATATAGTTGATCGATTTGTTGAAAATAATTTAAAATAAAATATAAAACTATCAAAAATATATATAATACAATAAATGCTGGTTAACTTTTTTTATTGCTATTTTTTATAATAGGTTCTCTTATATATATATATAGATTTATTTCATCTGATCATTCACAAAAGCTATTAGATCACACACACCCATGTGGGTGTGTATGTATAATTGTATATCAATGGTCCAAAAGGCATGGGAGGCATTGAACCATTGATGGGTACAATTCGCGCGCGTTTTTTTAATATGATCAATAATAAGATGGTTATTAAGAAAAGTCAACAAGGGCAGTTGATTCCTCCTTTTTTTTTTT